GCCCCTGATCATTTCCCACAGCCCATCTCAACCCTCACCGCGGCCCAAGACATTGCACATGCCATGCGGTTACTGACAGACAAATACATGTCCACGGGGTCATTCGGCCGACGGTGCAATGGCATGCAGAGAGCAAACATTTCAATGGCTACCCTATCTCAAAATAGAACACATTTAAACCGCCCGACATCGACACTAGACCCCTTAGCCACGAGGTTGAAAGACAGGATCGGATCATACGGCTTACCATCGGGGACCCACGGAAGCCTTTTGGAAGAATGCACGCCAATTAATACAAACTCGTCTGCGTTGACGGACCCAAACTCTGTCACCCGTCTCGTGCGTGGGCCATCGATCACCCATCCCCTCATCCCATCCCGGTCTCGCCGGCAAATGTCCAGTTATGTGTGCTCTGTGGTTCGGTCCTGGATCGGCTCTCTGTCCGAACCAAGAGAGGTTCATGGGGTGGGCTATCGGGTTGACCGTGGGAAATGTGCTCTTGAAACTACCTTACCCTTACCAGAACTAGGTAGGCAAGCAAGCTAACTAATGGGAAACATGGAGCTGGCGCAGCCTATCCGACCAGGGTCAAGGGAGGGGGGGCGGAAGGGTTCGTTGGCGCAGCTCCCGCCCTGATTATCATTAGCTGGGTTGGTGTCCATCGCTGAATGGGCCATCGCAAGCACAACAACTCCGCTGGACGGAGGCGCAGTCTTGTCCTATAGGCCTCCCATCAACCGAGTCCCGCAACTCCTGCCATGGCATCAGAGGTTGTTTAGTTGTATTCACTTCACTTGATGGGGACAGACAGACGAGCTCCTCGAGCATGTCGGTACAGTTACTGTGCATGAATTGATCTTCGAGATCGCCGGACCTAACCCCGATGCCGATGGCCCAAGCTGGACAGGACGAGACGAATACTTGCAGGACAGTCGAGTGAAATTCTTCAGCTCGTATTCTCTCCCCTTGATGATGCACTCCCGTTCGCCTGGCCAGCCTGCGTACCCCATTCTCCTCCCGCCCCAATCCCTCCCCCAGCAAGCAAGCACCAACGCCAGCCCCAGCAGCCCAAGCCCAAGCACCAAAGCAACAAGCACCAAGTAACAAGCACCGACACAAGCGCCGCGCCTCAGGCTGATCGTCGCTGCTGGTTCCCTCATTATTTTTCCTTCTTCCCCTTCCCACCTAGGATCCTTTCCTTCTCCCAACTAATCTCCCTACGGATCACGAACACCGCCCTCTGCAACCACGAACTCGCCAGGCCTCGACCCCTCCCCCCAAAAGCCCTCAGACATCCCCCCCTCCGACCTGCCGACCCCCCCAGGACAACATTCCCGGCCGTGGCCCTCCAAGACAAAATAGGATCGACCCACGACCCGAACGACCTGACCTGAACCATCCAAAGGTCCGTCCCCCAGAAACCGACCGACCGACCGACCAGCCGGCACCGACGCGCTTGGCTTGTGGCTCCGACTGTGGCTTGCTGCTGTTCAACTTGGGGGATTCCAATTGTTCGAACCCGGACTTTCTCTTCTCTCCAACTTCTATCTCGACAGCCTTCTTTCGACAACTGCGGCCGACCAGTACCTCCGGCAACACTGTGAAGCAGCTATTCGACTCGACGATTGCCTGCTCAATTGAAACGGGAGCCTTCCCTTCCCCCTTTTCGTCCGACGATCCTCGCCCCCATCCGCTATGGCTGCTTCAAATCCTCAAAACGTTATTCGAAGGTACGATGATGATCCGTCTCCGCCAGCCTCTTGGCGGACAACCCCTTGATGCACGCCTCGGTCTGCTGATGCCAATTCGATCGTCTTCCCTGCGCTCTACATTCTGCATCCACCCACTGCAACCTTCTGCTGCTGTCTAATCCACAACACAACGCTGACATGGCCCCTGGACAGGAAACTCGTCATCATTGGTGACGGAGCGTGCGGCAAGACCAGTCTGCTCAGCGTGTTCACGCTTGGATACTTTCCTACAGTATGTTGCGTCCAGTCTTTCCCGAGATAGAATGAAGATCTCTTGCTAACCAACGGTCACAGCATTATGTCAGTCCTCCAATTGCTGTGTGCTCAAGACTCCATTGACCTAACCCTCTTGCTAGATCCCCACCGTCTTCGAAAACTATGTCACAGATTGCCGTGTCGATGGTAAATCTGTCCAACTCGCGTTATGGGATACCGCTGGCCAGGAGGACTATGAGCGACTAAGGCCTCTTGCCTACTCCAAAGCGCATGTTATCCTTATCGCTTTCTCCGTTGACACTCCCGACTCTCTCGACAACGTCAAGCACAAGGTAAGGCTCGCTTGGCACATGTTGCAGGTGAAGTTTGCTGACAAACCTCTTAGTGGATAGAAGAAGCTAGCCGTCTCTGCCCCGACGTTCCGATCATGCTTGTCGGTCTTAAGAAGGATCTTCGCGAAGACCCCGTGGCGATTGAGGAGATGCGCAAGAAGTCTCTGCCCTTCGTCACCACTGCACAGGGCGATTCCGTCGCCCGTGAAGTCGGCGCTCGGAAGTACCTCGAGTGCTCCAGTCTCAGCGGCGAGGGTGTCGACGATGTGTTCGAGGCTGCCACACGTGCGGCACTGCTGACATTCGAGAAGGGTGAGGGAGGAGGGTGCTGCGTCATCCTCTGAGCGGGCGTTCACGTCGAACATCATCAATGGAGGAGGTTCATGAGCGGTTCAGGCGGGGAGGAGGAACCCTGAAACAGGTGACGACTGGCATGACGCCCTCCGGGAGCGGCTCGTCACCTGCGCGCCGCGCGGCTCACTTCCAGACGTGCTACTCGGAAGCACACATTCAAAAACACGGCGAAGGGAAAATTTCGAGCTGCTTACCCACACTCGTTGTTCAGCAGCCACGCAACTTGCAAGCGATATTGCCGATCGCATCGCATCACGGCAGCATCTCTCTTTTCGTTCGAGGGTCCACAGAGACTCCTAAAGCAGCGCAGCATCTCCTCTGCCTCAGTGTGTATAATAAGCGTCAATGGGATAGCATCGGCAGGCACCGCACACCATCAAGAATCTCGAAATCAGCCTCTGGTCTGCAGGGCGCCCAGGACTGAGCCCTGACGGAGGCTTGGTAGACGGGAACAATGATCCCGTTCAGCCGGCTCGAGCGCCCAAGCTGTAGGCTTTATTCTAGGCGCCTCGTTCTTTATCTTATTTTTT